TGGCTAGGAACTATACTCTCATTCCGGCGTAATAATCAAGGAACTTTGCTGCTGTACCATGGGTATAATTCCTAGCCATATCGGCCGAGAAAATCGCAACTTTTCATTTTCCGTCGGTCTTAGTACACGATGTAACTACAGAAGAGTCAAGTTTTAAATGGGAAAAATATAGAAACTCTTTGGTCATTTTTGAGAGAGATGCTAACGGTCTAATCAGATTCAATGATCTATGCTAAGCTACAGCTAAAAGTGCTACCGCCAGACCCGGAGATCGGCTGAATGGATTCGAAAACGGTAAAACTCAACTGTTTAACTCTAGGGGAGTTGGAAAATGAGCCTATTTTCAAAAATAGTGGAGTGTTCCTTTAAGATTTGTACTCTAAAGTAGTCAAACCTGTTCATTAGAAGGGGGTGACCCAATACTTTTGCCAATATAGTGTGTATTTATTTACTTATTGTAAGTGACTGCATCAACTATAAAACGATGCCAATTTATCGTATTAACTGCTACATTAAGAAAGCTGTCCATTTATTAGAGTGTGATGTTACCTGGCAGCACTGTGGCTCTGCTGTGTGTTTCTGAAGGAGCCGGTGACAGTCTTTCCCCGTAATCACTTTCACCAGACGAGGTGTGATCTCCGGCTCTAGAGTCTGCCATCACATACAGAGCAGGTCTCTTTTTATGGTACTTGGCACGGTACGTGTCCGTCATGCAGCTGTCCACGGAGAAGTACGTGCTGGGGATGACAGCAGAGCCGGCCGCAGGTTTAGGAAAGCTGGAGAACTTCTCCTCACCCTCACTCGCAGACAGATCGTTCCTCTCCTGATCAGAGGAGCCAGACTTGGAGCTCGTGTCCGAGTTTTCCATCCACTTCTGCAGGACGGTTTGGGACAGGGCCGAGCCGTTCCGAGGAAGACGTCGAGGGCTGGGTGGACGGGGATCTCGTCGCCGGTTCTCTGAGCTCAGGATGAGAGGTTTGGGAGGCACTGATGGAGCCGCGGCACGAGAGGGAACCGGAGGAACGTCAGCTCGTGATGAGGAATCCTCCTGCTCGGAAAAGGGTCCGGCAAGATCATCGGAGCTGTTCCACTCTGAACTGCTGGTCTTGGTGAAATTAGGAGAGATGGGGTTCCCGTTTACCACGTGTGCTCGTTCTACCTCAGTCTTCTCCATCCTCTCCTTCGCAGGGTTATATCGAAAAGCTTGTCTCCTGTAGGAGAAAACAGAAGGCTTGTCTTATATCTACCTCACACTTGCCCATATTACCTTTAAAAAGAACTGGTTACACTTTATTTTAAGGTGTCTTTGTTACAGTGTAATTATACATTCAAGTACTGAGTAATATTAATTAACTACATGTGTACTTATTATATAGTTAGGGTTTGGCTTAAGGGTTACTTGCATGTAAGTATGCATAATTTATTGATATTATAATAGTAAGTACATGTAACGTGTAACAAGGACACCTTAAAATAAAGTGTTAACAAAGAACTTTATAACTTTAAAAAGAAGTGCACTTAAGAGTGCACTTGACTGTGTAGTTGTAGTGTAAATCTTACATGATTAAAAAGGTACTTGCAGATAATAGAATATTAATGAAATAAAAGGCCACTTGCGTGTATTTAAAGAGAAACACTTTAATGTTTAACACACTTAAGTACACTTTAAAAAGTGTGCTTTTATTTTACAAGTACATTATAAATCATGGTAATTTTACTCATTTTTGTCATGGTTTAAAGTAGTACACTTTTTTGATGTTGACTACCATACTAAAGAAACAACTTGAACTGTAGTGTTATTTGATATTACATTTAAAATTGATACATTTTAAATAATATATTTTTAGTTATTCTGAATGTACTAAATTGCTACTTCATTACAAATGTCTAATTAAATATTGAAATGCACGACACAATAGAAGTTTCAATAGAAATGACATTGAAGTGTATTTTAGTTCTCTGTAAATGCTTGTCAGTGCAACATTCAGCAGTACTTTAACCACATTTCAAAGACAATAGAAGCAATTATGAAATTACATATAAAGATGATGTACTTAAGAGGGTGAAAAAAGCACTCTGAAGGTCAGCTAATTGCATTTAATATGAATTTCAGCTATAATACATTTTCAATTTATTGCAATCAACATATAGTTGTGTCTGAAAACATTCCATTCAAACTTACTGTAAGCTATTATTAACATTTTAATTACTATTATTTCCATAATAAGTATTATTTTTAAAAGTAATAGTATGCTACAGTGTACTTTTTATTTATTTATTTTTTGTATCAAAACATTTATGACCTGAGCCACTTTCTTTCTTTCTATACATATTTTAAAAGAAAATGGCTGCCCACTGCTCCGGGTGTGTGTTCACGGTGTGTGTGTTCACTGCTGTGTGTGTGCACTTTGGATGGGTTAAATGCAGAGCACTAATTCCAAGTATGGGTCACCATACTTGGCCACATGTCACGTCACTCACTCACTCACTCACTCACTCACTCATTTTCAGGTTTTATGCATGTGAATATTTCTGCATATGGAAAGCACACAAAAAATTGCAAGTAAAACATTCAAAGCCTCATGCATTCATTTTTTCCCCCAAATAACATACATACCTTGGAATAACAGGACTCATGAAATGATCATGTGTTTTCTTTTGGTGGTCACCTACAAAATAAATGAATAAAAATATTCATCTTTAATGTACCGCTGCATGCATTCTTTAATGTATATGTATTATTAATAAAATACACATCTCAAATATTTCTGCACTGAAAAGCAGTGTGAAAGACTG